ATGAACATGCTAAAACATAATCCTCTTGACGTTTCTAAGAACACTAGGCTGCAGCGCCACCTGCTGGCATCCATCTTGAGATGAACAGCCAAGTGATAATTATCTCTGTACTAGTGGATCATTATCAGTTGAGGGATACATCAGTTGTGAGGATTTCCACAAGGGCACTTGTTTTTATAAACCTTTGCTTTGTGTGAAGCTGCATGCATACTGATGGGTCATTCCTGTTATTCAGTGCCTATTGGCCATCATAAAATGTAGAAAATCAAACTGTATAGTGTGTAGTCATGATAGGGTGATGTAAAACGTTTGAAAAATGACTTCGGTCAAGCTCAGGTAAATAAATGTAACCCTTTATTAATCAAAATAAATTAAATGGAAAATCAAAAATGTCCACCCTTCTAATTTATGGGAACTGTGTACATTATCTTAGACAACTCGCGTGCTTTTATTCCTTTAAGAGCATATCAGTTAATAAATTATAAAAAAATTAACAAATTAACAAAAAATTGTGTATGAATTGTACTGACTCGCTCACAAACGCATAATTTTACATGTGTCGGTTTCAGATACAAATGCCACAAAAATGTGTTTTTGTTTACTTTTTTAAATAATGCACTATTGATAGCTACTCTAGTAAATGATCATCGTCGATGATTTATTTGTATGTTTTTTGCAGATTTTTTTTAATTGTTGGGTGGGCAAAATAATAACAGGGTGGGCAAAATAATAACAGGGTGGGCGAAATAATAACAGGGTGGACAAAATAATAACAGAGTGGGTGAAATAATAACAGAGTGGGCGAAATAATAACAGAGTGGGCAAAATAATAACAGGGTGGACAAAATAATAACAGGGTGGACAAAATAATAACAGGGTGGGCGAAATAATAACAGGATGGGCAAAATAATAACAGGGTGGGCGAAATAATAACAGGGTGGACAAAATAATAACAGAGTGGGTGAAATAATAACAGAGTGGGCGAAATAATAACAGGGTGGACAAAATAATAACAGGATGGGCAAAATAATAACAGGATGGGCGAAATAATAACAGGGTGGACAAAATAATAACAGGGTGGACAAAATAATAACAGGGTGGACAAAATAATAACAGAGTGGACAAAATAATAACAGGATGGCAAAATAATAACAGGGTGGGCGAAATAATAACAGGATGGGCAAAATAATAACAGGGTGGACAAAATAATAACAGGGTGGACAAAATAATAACAGGGTTGACAAAATAATAACAGGATGGGCGAAATAATAACAGGATGGGCAAAATAATAACAGGGTGGACAAAATAATAACAGGATGGGCGAAATAATAACAGAGTGGACAAAATAACAACAGGGTGGACAAAATAATAACAGGGTGGGTGAAATAATAACAGGATGGGCAAAATAATAACAGGGTGGGTGAAATAATAACAGAGTGGACAAAATAATAACAGGATGGGCGAAATAATAACAGAGTGGACAAAATAACAACAGGGTGGACAAAATAATAACAGGGTGGGTGAAATAATAACAGGATGGGCAAAATAATAACAGGGTGGGCAAAATAATAACAGGATGGGCGAAATAATAACAGGATGGGCAAAATAATAACAGGGTGGACAAAATAATAACAGGATGGGCGAAATAATAACAGAGTGGACAAAATAATAACAGGATGGGCAAAATAATAACAGGGTGGGCAAAATAATAACAGGATGGGCAAAATAATAACAGAGTGGGCAAAATAATAACAGGGTGGACAAAATAATAACAGGGTGGACAAAATAATAACAGGGTGGGTGAAATAATAACAGAGTGGGCGAAATAATATCAGGGTGGACAAAATAATAACGGGTGGGTGAAATAATAACAGAGTGGGCGAAATAATAACAGGGTGGACAAAATAATAACAGGGTGGGCAAAATAATAACAGGGTGGGCGAAATAATAACAGGGTGGGCGAAATAATAACAGAGTGGACAAAATAATAATAACAGGGTGGGTGAAATAATAACAGACTGGGCGAAATAATAACAGGGTGGGCAAAATAATAACAGGATGGGCGAAATAATAACAGAGTGGACAAAATAATAATAACAGGGTGGGTGAAATAATAACAGACTGGGCGAAATAATAACAGGGTGGGCGAAATAATAACAGGGTGGACAAAATAATAATAACAGGGTGGGTGAAATAATAACAGACTGGGCGAAATAATAACAGAGTGGGCAAAATAATAATAACAGGGTGGGCAAAATAATAACCGGATGGCCAAATAATAACAGGGTGGGCAAAATAATAACGGAGTGGACAAAATAATAACAGGGTGGGCAAAATAATAACAGGGTGGACAAAATAATAACAGGGTGGGCAAAATAATAATGGAGTGGACAAAATATTAACAGGGTGGACAAAATAATAATAACAGGGTGGGCAAAATAATAACAGGTTGGCAAAATAATAACAGGGTGGGCAAAATAATAACGGAGTGGACAAAATAATAACAGGGTGGGCAAAATAATAACGGAGTGGACAAAATAATAACAGGGTGGACAAAATAATAACAGGATGGCAAAATAATAACAGGGTGGGCAAAATAATAACAGAGTGGACAAAATAATAACAGGATGGCAAAATAATAACAGGGTGGACAAAATAATAACAGGATGGCAAAATAATAACAGGGTGGGCAAAATAATAACAGAGTGGACAAAATAATAACAGGATGGCAAAATAATAACAGGGTGGGCAAAATAATAACAGGGTGGGCAAAATAATAACAGGGTGGGCAAAATAATAACAGGGTGGGCAAAATAATAACAGGGTGTGCAAAATAATAACAGGGTGGGCAAAATAATAACAGAGTGGGCGAAATAATAACGGAGTGGGCGAAATAATAACAGGGTGGGCAAAATAATAACAGAGTGGGCAAAATAATAACAGAGTGGGCAAAATAATAACGGAGTGGACAAAATAATAACAGGATGGCAAAATAATAACAGGGTGGGCAAAATAATAACAGGGTGGGCAAAATAATAACAGGGTGGGCAAAATAATAACAGGGTGGGCAAAATAATAACAAAGTGGGCGAAATAATAACAGAGTGGGCAAAATAATAACAGGGTGGGCAAAATAATAACAGGGAGGACGAAATAATAACAGGATGGCAAAATAATAACAGGGTGGGCAAAATAATAACAGGGTGGGCAAAATAATAACAAAGTGGGCGAAATAATAACAGGGTGGACAAAATAATAACAGGGTGGGCAAAGTAATAACATAGTGGGCGAAATAATAACAGGGTGGGCAAAATAATAACGGAGTGGACAAAATAATAACAGGATGGCAAAATAATAACAGGGTGGGCAAAATAATAACAAAGTGGGCGAAATAATAACAGGGTGGACAAAATAATAACAGGGTGGGCAAAGTAATAACATAGTGGGCGAAATAATAACGGAGTGGACAAAATAATAACAGGGTGTGCAAAATAATAACAGGTTGGGCAAAATAATAACAGGATGGGCAAAATAATAACGGAGTGGACAAAATAATAACAGGGTGGGCAAAGTAATAACATAGTGGGCGAAATAATAACGGAGTGGACAAAATAATAACAGGGTGTGCAAAATAATAACAGAGTGGACAAAATAATAACAGGATGACAAAATAATAACAAAGTGGACAAAATAAAAACAGGGTGGGCAAAATAATTACATTATTACTTTAATTTGAACTGGATTTAGATGGGAAACAATATGTAAAACATTACCAAAGTACTTTAAATGCAATACTTCTTCAACTTTAAGTATAAATGAATTTCGCAATCACTTTGTTCACTCTCAATGTCCACTTTGTTAGGTTGTCTGATTTAACAGGGAGGACATTCTGAGCTAAAATCAGCCACTGCACCGTGTCTCAGCAAAAAGAAGCTAACACAGAAGGTTCATTTAATAAAGAATTGCGTGGTCTTTAAAATTGTAGTTTTAAAGCTATGATTTTTCTACTTACTTTTTTCATTTTTCCTCTAATAGGGTGGACGTACTAAGGTTGATCACATCAAATTTGAAAGATAAAATGGGTTTAAAAAAATAGACCAGTAAAATAATAAAAGGATCTCACTCACTTTGCCAAGTTGTTTTCCATCCGAAGAAGTGATTGCAGCTTTATGATATGTCATTTAATTTTTTCAACTATCATTTAAAGGGAAAGTAGTCAAAAATAACAAGCTGGACAAAAAACCTTGATTATAATTGCTCAAATAAATGTAATAATTGAAAAGAATATATACATTATCTTTACTGATATACCCAATGTAAAACATTTTTTAAAAATCACTTATATATACAAGTATTGTATTTATCATGAAAATGGGATACATAGGAAAAATGGTGAAATATGGTGGTTTAAAATGCTGTAAAATGTCTCAAATTATTATTTTTAAATCAACTTCAATATGCTTAGAGTTCAAATTGTGTTATTTATGACTATGACATGTTTGAAATTTATATTATTCAACATTTAAAGGCAGTAAGACCATGATTCTCACAGGGGACAGACACAAAAGGCACATAATCCCAGGAATGAGTGTCAGTATAAAGTTCAAGACCACTCAGTTATATAATATATTGTTATATCATATTGCATTTTTGTTTTTTATTTGATAGAATATTGCTGTTTTGAAAATTGCAAAAATATGGAAAAATACATCCACTAAACAATTATTCCACATATATCACAATGCACCATGACAAAATACTCATAAAAATACATACTATAGAAGGTACATTCATATAAGTAAAATTTACTATGAAAATGCTACATTAACAAACGGTATAATAACAATTATATCATAAAATCTATATAAAATCTGTAAACTCGTTTATAAAAGTAAACTTCATCCTCACGGGGTTCTTCAGAGGTAGACAACTGGAAGGAACTGCAAAAAAAGACAACACTACAACAAACAGGGTAAAGTGCAGCTGGAATACAGTGACAAATCTAGTAAAACGTTTACTTAACTTCATCACAATCGCTACTCTAATACGTTCTTAGGAAAGGCTATCCGCTGATTCTTGTTTCTAGGACAGTGTGCAGTGTGTTGCTCTTCGTAAGATTGTCTTCACTCACACACACACTTTCACAGAAACAGCTCTTTGTTGATCCACATGAGTGTGCGCGTGTCGTTGGGCTTGCACTCGTACTCGATGCTGTTGAAGCTGTTCCCCCATTGGCAGTGGTCCCTCTTGTTGTAGTTGTAGAACTTGACCTGCCAGACGGTCTCGAAAAGACCAGCCCGAGTGAACTGTCACGCACAGAAACATCACACACATCAGCTGCAACTCTTGTTCTTACACAAAAAGCTTCCAAAGGGTGTTTTTCCAGTGATAGGAGGAGCATTACAGGTTCCCCAAAGAGCCTTTCAGTGAACATTTGAATCATCTAAAGAACCTTTTCCTCCACTATAAAGAATTGGTAACGCTTCCTTTTACAGTACAGTACTTACGTGTACTTACAGTGTACTTACCTAGAAAGTACTGGCTAATATAAGGTAAGTACATGGGTTAGGGGTAGGTTCAGGGTTAGTACCTACCCAGTAATTGTAATTACTATAATAAGTACATAGTATGTACATGGGTAACAGGACTGTAAAGCGTTACCAAAGAATATTTGGTGGAAAGGAAAAATGGTATGGATGTTAAAGGATTAGTTCACTTTAGAATAAAAATGTCCTGATAATTTACTCTCCTCCACGTCATCCAAGATGTTCATGACTTTCTTTCTTCATTGGAAAAGAAATTAAGGTTTTTGAGGTTTCTCCATATAGTGACTTCAATGGGGTCCAACGGGTCGAAGGTCCAGATGTGAGTTTCAGTGCAGCTTCAAAGTCTCGACACGATCCAGCCGAGGAATAAGAGTCTGATCTAGACAAACCAGTGGACATTTATAACAAAATAAAAATTTTTTAACCATAAATGCTCATCTTGCACTAGCTGTGATGCGACACACATTATGTGATCAGGTTGAAAGGTCAAGCGGGACGTAGGAAGAAGAACAGACCTAGTGTTTACAAAGCGAACGTGCAAAGACTGAGTCAAACGCCATTTACAAAAAAAAAAAAAAAAAAAAACGTGCAAGATGAGCATTTGTGATTAAAAAGTATATAAATGTTTATTTATTTTTTATAAATGGCCGCTGGTTTGTTTAGATAAGACTCTTATTCCTCGGCTGGATCGTGTCGAGACTTTGAAGCTGCACTGAAACTCACATCTGGACCTTCGACCCGTTGGACCCCATTGAAGTCACTATATGGAGAAACATCCTGCAATGTTTTCTGACTGAAGAAAGAAAGTCATGAACATCTTGGATGACGTGGGGAGAGTAAATCATCAGGAAATTTTAATTCTGAAGTGAACTAATCCTTTAAAGGTTCTTAACCCTTAAAGACCGATACGGCCGGCGGCGGCAAAGAATAACTGTTGTTATTAAATGTTTAAGAACTTTTGAACCGCTACTCCAATCCGTATGGTTTAAAAAGTCACATAAAGAGGAGATTCGCGGCTTTTCTGTGATATCGGGTTAATCGCGTTTGGACATTCAGAAGCTCTGTAGTGAATGTGATTGCGTCATCAAGTTTTGATCAGCATTGATTCGTCAAAGAAACCCGTGCGGTTTGTTCCTCTGAGCCAATCATGAATGATTGTTGATGCTTAGTCCCACCCCATGCCCAGATTGGTTGAAACTATCATCTACTCAACCAATAAACATAGTTTTTGGTCTTTTGCACGACCAATTAGCATCTTTCTTTGGAAATTTGAACTGAGGCACGGAGGTAAAGTGAAAGTAGTTCATGTATGTATATGTAGGCCTATGTGTGTGTGTGTGTGTGTGTTTATATATATATATATATATATATATATAAAGTTTATTTTGCTTCAGTGTTCTATTACAATCATTCTATTTATTTTACTTCCTGAACTTTTTTGGACACATCTAAATAAAAAATAAATAAAAAATACCAGCTTTTCACTGAAAATCGCCTATAATAATGTTGTAATAAATGGCTATAACTTGCTTAGGGATTGTTACATGTAGTCAAAATTACATCTGGAAATGTAGAATATCCAAGTACAGCTTTCTAAAAAAAAAAAAAAAACTTCAGGAGGATTTGTTTGAGTTGAGTAAAAAAAAATCACTAAAAATATGCTGCCGTTTTTCTTAAATCTGGTAAATTCATCCATTCTAAGACAAAATAAATCTAAAATTGGATTATTTAAATGAGATAGATTGAAACTTCAAGTTCTCCTGTTTAAAATGATATATGGCACTTGATGCTGACTGCTATAATGGGTTAGAAAAACAAAGAAAAGAACAGGCGGTGCAGGTGCTCCAAAAATGGTCTAGGTCTTTAAGGGTTAATAGAACCATAGATGCCAATAAAGAACCTTTATGTTCTTCTGCAGGCTTTTATAATGTGTTTTATAGGCTCTGTGTTCAAATGGTGTACTTCTTATTTCTAAGGGAACCTTTCAAAAGTGATTCTCACCTGTATGTTGACTTGAACGGGTTGCCTCTCTCCACTTTTGGTGTGTGTTACTCCCTCGGTGTCATACATCCCAGTGTACACTACAGACTGAGGGTCTTTAGACTGTTGCTCCAAAGGGAACGTCACGCCGCCGACGGTCATGGATCTGAGGAATGAGGCGTGAGAGAGGGAGACTGACACGACAACAACCAAAAATACACTTCAGGAGCTAAAATAGTATAGTACAACTGGGCTAAAGGCGCACCGGGGTAAAAAGCGCCTTTGATTTTATTGTCCTCTAGAATACTAGAGGGTACAAAAAAAAGCAGCGCAAAGTTATTTCTGTGCTAATTTTATCTAATATTTGATGTTTTTTAAAATGTTATAGATACAAGTAGCAAATTAGAATCGCTAAAATTATTGAATATATTTCGAGACAAAGGTCTTGTTATTGATTTTCAGTTTTGTTCAAGCTAATTAAAGCAACAATTTTTCAATAAGAAGAATATGTACATATAGAAGAATATATATATTGCTTTTGCATACATATGCTGTTGGGGCGAAAGGCACAATAATTAACATGATAATAAACGGCTGGCTGACTTTTCCATTTGTTGACATGACATGGTTAGATTCAAATGGGAAATATCATTAAATTGGGTGGCCACCTTAGAGATACCGGTAATCACCCCATTTACAATAAAACCCATCATATTTAAAAATATGATCATATCGTATTTATTGTTATTACTGTAAATCTAGATTACACTCAAGATTCTAAATCTAGATTACAAGAATATTCAGATTGCAACATCTATTTGATTTGACAGACATTAGCCTAGATATCTGTAGACCTTTGTGTAACAGAATACACACATTACAACATGCAGCCAGTCAGACATTAATCGTCTGGATTTGACTGCCAAAGGAAGCAATCTGTCAGTGCATGAGATGAACACACAATCCTATAGGATAAACCCACAATCTTGGCATCCCATATGTAGATATCACGAGATGTTACATCCAATAGAGTTGCTTTCAGTTCATTTAATTTTAGCAGTAGCCTTTTTTTTTTAAAATAGCTACTTTTGAATGCCAATGTAGTCTAAAATAATAATTCAGCACTATTGCCATATGTCAAAGTACAATGTTATCCATCATCATCACTGTACACAATGGTGCCATTGGTCATTTGTAATTTTACATCACATCTACACAAAATAAACCTATTCTGTCTCAACGTTGATGCAAACGAAGCGTTATGCAAACAATAGAATCAAAATAAGTTCACTTACAAATAGACTAAGGCATAACGTTACTCACGTCGCCTCGACTGCTCCCGGTTTAACGACCACGTCGACCTTGTATTTCGTTCCCGTCAGTAATTTGATGGTTCTGCTCTGACCGAATCTCGTCCCGTCCGATTTGAAGAACACGGGTCCGTTATTCGGGGTGGTTTTCAGCGAAACGCCGATTTTAATCAGTTGGGGAATGTCTGCCATGATGCACAAGACCGTCAGGTGTGAGGAAACAGGTCAGGATATTTCAGGCTGAGGTAAATCGGTGTGCCGTGATGAGTACTCGAGTGGAAACCCGTGAAACCGCATGCAGAAAGCACGTCCAAAGTCATGTCTGCTGTTCCTGTCCAATAATCCCCTACACAAACATAATCCCAGCAAGCGTGCGACCTAATGAGATCAAGAGAGGGAAGCAGTGTAGCCCAGATTACACCGATACATCCGTGCATTTGGTTTATTGATCATAAAACGAGTGTCTACCACCAGTACTGTTGCTCAAGGACACCAAGTCAAGTCTCATTAGTCAAGATTATGGATGATGGGTAAGTGTTATAATAGCATAAAAATACTACTGTCTTGGTTTTTTGAACATGTACCATGACAATACCATGTGCTTTTGAGAACAGAACAGAATGAAATAGTATTCTTTTATAGTCCACATGAAATCAAATTTTTTTTTTGCTTTTAGTATGACAATGATATGCTTTACTAAATCTATCAGCTAGTGTGCTCCAAAACAATGGCAAAATTCATATTTAGAAGATGTAAGCATTCAAAACTTTGTCTTTCTCTTCTGCCAATATGGATCAGTGATTACATCACTCTGCACTTCAGCTTCTCATCAGATTTTCTCTCCAATCAAATGCTCTCTAGAATCTGAAGTATAGGCCAGGGTAAGGGGTTTTTACAACATTCTTAGCCATCTATTGTTTTCCTCTGATATTAGGGAGAGGTTATGGGTATAGACGAATCCGGAGAAACTACCGGAAGTAAGCGGGCGCCATTACAAACCAGGTTCATACCCATAACCTCTCCCTAATATCAGAGGAAAATAATAGATGGCTAAGAATGTTGTAAAAACCCCTTACCCTGGCCTATACTTGACATTAACCCTTTAAGTGTCACCCCCCTTTTTTTTAAATATACATGAAAATGCACATTTCGAACTTAAATGGTTGTAATTCAAGAATGGTTTGGAATATAGACGTAAGATTGGTCTTGTTTTAAAGACGACATTTGGCAGATTTTTGTAGAAGTGAAATAAATTAAGAAAGTGAAACAGAAAAAAAGTTATAGAAGTTTGAGTTTCGAGACGAAAGTCTTACGGGGAACAACATGAGGATGAGTAATTACTGACAGAATTTTCATTTTTGGGTGAACTAACCCTTTAATTGTCAAATCTGATTGGCATATATTGTTCCAAGATCAACAAGGATACTGTTTTATTTAAAACCAAGTATGTAAATTACATGTTAAGCATATAAGCTTATATGACTTTCAATAGTATTCCATTTTCAATTCAATTTAAGTTTATTTTTTATAGAACTTTTCACTAAACTCAGAAAATGCTTGTTACTAAGTCATCATGTAAATCAAAATGATATGCATTATTTTAATTGATAATCTTTAAAAGACATATTAGTTGTTAATAACAAGTACAATGGTATTGTCTGATATATAATAGTACCACAATAGTAGTTTTTGTGTTTGTCTTTGTAAACGTAGTTGTGTTTATCAGCCATCAGATCAGCTAATATGATCGAGCTTCAGAAGTCAGATACCATAACACCATAGCGATACTCTCACTTCCTTTCAAAACCACTTGTGAAAACACCTTTCATTTGGTTGATTTTTTTAAAATATGTTTTTTTTTTACTTCAACAATCATTTAATTCATCACAAAGTTCGTAAGCTGTGAGATTTAACCAGTACACAATTGGATAATATTTCAAATTCTCAAGTGTGTGTTGCACCTTTGTTGTGATGTCTCTTCGAACACGACGAAGGCTGGGTCTTTCTCCAGTGACCGCGAGAACAACTCTTTTGTAACACCTTGAACTCCCTTCATTCAACTTCCTGTGAAAGGTTCCTCTCACCAAGCTAAAGTGATTTGTTTGTTTAAGTATTATTCCAGTGCTACAAAAATGGTTCAGTGAACAACCTTCTAATCAGCAATCAATTTCTGAGAAGTGATTAAAATGTTCTAGATGTTAAATGGCGGTTTTTCAGATGTTGAAAGACACGGAAAATGTTTGTTCCAGGAGATAAAAATGATATGTTCGTTTATATACAGTAGTCAACATTTGAAGTTCATCAAAGTTGCCCTAAGGCGAGAACGGGTGTTGTTCAAAATTCATGTATAACTTTGATGAAAGGTTTTGATCCACTTCAAGGACCAGAATGGACATTACAAGTAAGACTAAAAAAAAAAGTATGACTTTTTGTCAAGCATTCACTCATCATCACTCATCAGGGTTGATAATCTTTGGCCTTTGACTCATGTACTATATGTGGGCTGAAAACACAGAGGAAACTAGTCTGACCAAGTCAGGCATGTGCAACTTCCCTTTCATCAAAAAATGTCTATAACTGTCAAGCGAGGCGACGCGTCACAGACACAGAATCTGCTGAAGCGTATGGGTCTCACACACACCACTCCCTGAAGAAGACAACGAGTCGAGCTTGTAGTGTAGATATGGAGCCAACAAGAATCAGAGAAGGATACTTGGTGAAAAAGGTAAGACTGGAGTTGTAATATGTGTCATATAATATCACTGGAAAGCAAGAATTTTACTGACAAGAACTGAAGAAACCGAGACGAACCACAAAACGCTGATGTCATGTGATGATGCTTTGTTATTTGTTTCCCATGAAGTTATGAAGTTGCTCCAATTTGGGAACAGAAGTGGAAACATCCTCTTTCTTTCTAAAAAATAAAACCCAATCAATGCAGCATTTAACACATTTTAAATGTTCATTACGGTTCTTTGCGTTGAACTCTTACAAAGTGTTCGATGTGGACATCTTTGAGATGGCATTTTCCTGTTTCTCTGTGAAAAAACTGTAATATAAATGTGTGTATCAGGATCTGGCAACTGAAAGTATAGTAGAAGTCTGACCACAACATATGCGTGTACTGAAATACAGAACTGAAAATGACAGAAATTGAATGCTTGCACTTCACTAAATTCATTTGTGATTGTGTTGTTGTTGCAAACAGCCTATATAATTCCTTCATGTGAAACGGTTTGTTTACTTTAAAGATCTTTATCTTTGGTGGTTTTAGGAAGCTAAAGTGCTGTTGTTTGCAGGGCACAGTGCTGAACTCATGGAAAGTGGTGTGGGTGGTGTTAGCAGATGATGGCGTAGAGTTTTACAAGAAGAAGACCGACAGGAGTCCGAAGGGAATGATCCCTCTGAAGGGAGCGACACTGACCAGCCCATGCCAGGACTTCACTAAAAGACCGGTGGAGGAATCACACGTCTTTAAAACCAATATACCTCTGGCCATTTATACGGCAAAAAATAGTTTTTGCGTCGTGCATATGATATTTTTGGCGAATAAATGGCACGAGAAATAAAATTAGTGCTATAGATACGCACTTTCATGAGATCGTGTTGGACATATCTTGATTGTTTCATTGGTAACACTTTACAAAAAGGTTCATTAGTTAACATTATGTATTAACTAACAATGAGCAATACATTTGTTACAGTATTTATTCATCTTTGTTAGTTCACTTCACGGTGCATTAAGTAATGTTAACATACAACTTTTGATTTTGATAATGTATTAGTAAATGTTGAAATTAATATTAACTAAGATTAATACATGCTGAGTATTGTTAATTCTTAGTTCATGAGGTAGTTAACTAATGAACCTTATTGTAAAGTGTTACCGTTTCATTAATATCAGCGTATGGTCTCCAACAGCTTGTGTTTAAGGTCAGTTCTCATAAGAACCAGGACCATTTCTTCCAAGCGACGCATCTGGAGGAACGCGAGCTGTGGGTTAAAGATGTCAAGAGAGCGATCACTTGTTTACAGGGGGGCAAGAAGTTTGCCAGGAAATCAACGCGCCGATCCATTCGATTACCAGAAAATGTTAACCTGAGGTATGGTTTCCGTTTTAAAATTGCACTAAATAAACAAAATCATACTTTTGGACCAACTTTAAAAAAAAAAGATAAATCTAAAAACATTTTGTTAGTCAATCTTTAATTTAATTCACGTGCAAAGACACATTTAAAGACATGTCCCGTTGTGGTGAAAAAACAGCTTTTAATGTTGTTTATGTGTCTATGTGGTGTTTTTAATACGCTTTAAGACACACCATGTGTAAGTTCATAAGTCGACAGCATTGCTGAGTATTTTCTGCTTAAAACTGCAGTGAACCAAAGACAGTCTCAAAAACACGGTTTGAAATCGCTGGTGTTTCTGACGTCACAAACGACCTTGTAACCAATCAGATCAACGTGTGATCGTCAACCAGTGGATCTCTGAGTGAGTGAGTGAGTGAGTGAGTGGAGGCGGGGCTCATTTGTATATTCATAGAACCGCGCATACTAAATGAGGCAAGGGTGTCGGGTTACATTCAAGATATTTTAAGGCATGAAGAATTTTTTTCAAGTAAAAACATTTAAATATGTAATTTTGGTGATCAAAGATGAGTTTTAAGGGATACAATTATTGACTACAGGGGCAGGGGGACTTTATAGTTGGCATGAAAATGAAGTTGCTCTGGTCTTTTCTCCTCTATTGTGTCGTATATCGAGTGAAACGCTTCTGAAACAAGAGCAAATGTGGGCGGGGCTTGATTGTGTCTGTGGGGAGTTGTTTGGATGGTTGTGGTTTGCTATTGGCTGATCTCATGTGAGTGACAGGTTGCCCCGCCCACATCATCAGAGAAGAGAAGAGATGCTGCAAAAGGAAGATATTATGATTCAAGATTACCAGGAACATCAATTTAAAACAATAAAGATTTGCACTGATAAATTATGTAGAATATGTACTGCAATGTTCCAAAAAAAAGAGAAAAAAAAAGAATTGGGGGACTTTAATGTCTTTAATGTAAATATGCATCATATTTATAAAACAACTGAAATAATTTCAGTCAAGCTTGCCAGTATGTCAACACTGGTTTCAAGTGAAAACAGTATTTAATCAAAATTGTTTAACTGTCAGTCAAATTAGACAAAAAAACAGGTTTAAACCAGAAACCATGATTTTCCATTACTTTAAATAAATGACAGCCTTTTTTTTTTTTTTTTACCAGAATGTTGTATTGATTGAAAAACAGAGTCTGTATTGTGCTAAAACTGGAGTAATGTGATGAATAAAGTTTGAAAGTCCCTGTTGTGAACTGTAAAACGGTTAAACATTGCTGTTGTTCTGTCTGTCCTCAGTGAACTGTATGTTTTAATGAAAGATCAAGACAACGGTGTTAAAGAGATGAAGCTAGAGAAGGACAAAAGGCTGTTTAATCACTGTTTCACAGGTGAGATATTCATTTATAACATAATAAAATAAAGAAATAGGCAAATCCTCTTATACTCTAAAATATGCTGGGTTGTTTCAACCCAAATTTGGGTCAAATATGGAAAAACCCAGCCATTGGGTTAAATTTTCAAATATTTATTTTAACCTACTGGTTGGGTTCGTCCACATATGACCCAAATTTGGGTTAAAACAACCCTGCATTTTTTTAGAGTGCAGCTAAATTGAGAATTAAGAATATCTCCATTTAATCTCTCTAATCTTTCTTTCTGCACGATTTGGGTTACACTTTACAATAAGGTTAATTAGTTAACATTAGTTAGCTACCTTAGTGAACATGAACTAAGAATGAACAAATACTTCTACAACATTAATTTATCTCAGTTAATATTAATTTCAACATTTACTAATACAGTATCAAAATCAAAGGTTGTATTTGTTAACATTAGTTAATGCACTGTGAACTAACATGAGCAAACAATGAACAGCTGGATTTGTATTAACTAACATTAACAAAGATTAATAAATACTGTAACAAATGTATTGTTCATTGTTCATGTTAGTTAATACATGAACTAATGAACCTTATTGTAAAGTGTTACCCACATATCTTAGTGTTTTACTCACATGAACAGTGTTTGCACATCTTATTGTAAAGTGTTAGCAAGATTAGTTCGCCTGTAAGTGTGTTGTGGTGGATGTTGTTGCAGGGAACACAGTGATCGACTGGCTGATCTCCCAGGGGAAGGCCAGGAACCGGCCCGAGGGACTGATGTTGGCCACCGGGCTCCTCAACGAGGGGTTCCTGCAGGCCGCGGGGGACGTGTCCAAAGACGGGGCGGAGAAAGGAGCAGAGTGTGTTTTCTTGGACCAAACGGAGGCTCTTTATTATTTTGTAAGCTTACAAAGCATACAGGGCACTACTAATTATTGGCTCTATTCCAAAACCAAGTGATCCGTCAGAAAGAAAGAAAACAGTGGGGTAGAACAGCTTGTCACTGGGGCAGAACATTTAAAGAGCACCTATTAAGCTTTTTTACATATTCCACTTTTTAAAATGTTGAAACGCCTCCATTGTAGTCTTGAGTTTCTCCCGGGAACGAACACGTCACAATATTCCTCATTATAATAATTCATACGCAGAATAAAGGGGCGGGGCCTGGTTGAGTTAGTTAGTAGTGTGTTAAACTGGCGGTTACACACTCAAAGAGCTCGACCAATCACAACACACTGATCCAGCCGACCAATCAGAGCACAGTGTGCTTTTCAGAAGGAGGGGCTTCATAGAGACAGGAAGTAAACAGAGCGTTACTGACAGACTGGGAAGAGAGGAGCCGCAACAATGGAGAATATGGGGGAAATAATGTTTTTTGACATTTAAGCAAGTAAATCAAAAACTAAATCAAGACTTTGTAAAAGGGCATATGGCCTCTTTAAAAGGACAAATGTGTACCTTATATCAACCCCCAAAAGATGCCTATTTACAGGCCCTGTTTACTCCTGGTATTAAGATGCGTTTTGGTCGATCGGATCACAAGTAGACGAGAGAGACATTTTGAAGCTTGGTTCCACCACAGAATAAAAAATAAAAAAGGTAATTGCGACTTTTTATCTCAGAATTGCATGTTTATCACGCAATTCTGACTTTATATCTCACAATTCTGAGAAATATAGTCATAATTGCGAGATGTAAACTCACAAATGTGAGATAAAAAGCTGCAATTATCTTGTAAAATGTTTTATTCTGTGGAAGAAACAAGCTTCCATAGAGACACATTCCCGTTTACACCTAGTGTTTTACTCCGTCTCTTTTGTCCACTTTAAACCACTTCTGTCCTGATGTCTTCGAGGGGAGGGTCTATAGGCGGGGAAATATATGGGCTTTTTCAGATCTTTCAATCTAATGGACAAAATAAGCTCATGCAATTTACATATGAACACAAACAGACGACGGAAAAACACACGGAGAGAATCAGCTTTCGTGTCTACCAGGCCGAACGCTGCGAGTGTGTGTTAGAAATCAGCAATGCAGCAATGCTGAGAGAATATCGTGCTCAGTACGTTTATCCTCTTTGGATGCACGTGGTTGCTAAGTAGAAAATATAAAATTTGATCCCTTACGTTTTTTAAAGTTCGCTCGCTGTAGATTTTAGAATAGAGCCATATCATATTGTCCACATGCTATACATTTCGGTGACATTTCATGGCGTGTATGAAGCATGTACAAAAAACAAAGAAGTGTCTGCGTGTGAAAAACAAAGTGTCTGTGTGTGAACCGAGAGCTGTTGACACGGGGTGTCTGTTGATTTGCAGGCGGACAGTGGTTTCTTCTGTGAGGGCTACTCCAGTGATGAAGACGTGATCCTGAAGGAGGAGTTCAGAGGTGCAATAGTCAAACAGGGCTGTCTGCTGAAACAGGTAAGCTAAAGCGGGAACACTTTACAATAAGGTTCATTCGTTTACATTAGTTAGCATGAACTAATAATGAACTGCATTTATACAGCATTTATTCATCTTTGTTAATGTTAATTTCAACATTTACTAATACTTTATTCACATATTGTTAACATTAGTTAATGCACTGTGAACTAACACGAACAAGCAGCTTGTTTTATTAACTAACATAAACAAAGATTAACAAATACAGTAACACATTTTATTGAGTAACAAATGTATTGCCCATGGTTAGTTCATGTTAGTTCATACATTAGCTAATGTTAACTAATGAACTTTATTGTAAAGTGTTACCGCTAAAATATACCAAGTTCAGTCGGGAAACTCTAGATGGGTTCTTAACACAACCTGACAATTACATCGTTAACTACATGGCACAAGCTGATTGGTTCCTGTTACATCTGCAGCCGATGAGCTTTCTGTTCAGCACTTCAATAGTGGGTCAGTGTTTGCTGTAGCAGTTTTCAGCATGTTTCAAGTGTTCCTCAGACTCCCTCCCTCTTCCCCAGCTCCACCTGTATATATTAGCTATAGTTCATTTTATAGATGCTATTTGTGCAGCAACAGCGTAGCAGATCTATTCAGGGGTGTGTTTCCCGTACAACACCGTAACTCGCTGCTTCACTATCACAGTACGATGCATCGCTGAAGAAATCAACAAGCTCATCACAACTGTTTCCCAACGCCATCTCACGACCAATTCGTCCGAATTTGACGAGTGATTAAAAGATGGCTAATTCGTACGAATTTGTACGATTTGTCCAAACCCACGTGATGGGTAGGTTTAGGGGCGGGGTCAGGGGTAGGTCATTCGTACGAATTCATACGAATTGGGCAACTCGTCAAATATGTACGATTTAGCAAAAATCTTTCTAATTCGTACGAGTGAGGTCGTACGAATTGTTACGAATTAGCCATCTTTTAATCACTCGTCAAATTCGGACGAATTGGTCGTGAGATCGGGTTGTGTTTCCTGAAACCGTATTGTCGCAAATTGGTCGTTTAACCACGTTGGTTAATGATGTCACGCAGGTGGAGGAGTAATAACTACTTTTAATGAATCTGTTTGAGATCGATGTTTTCCTAAATTACGCACATGGCATCTGAGGAATATCTCTCATTTTTCTCAGTTATTTTGCTTTATTTCCAGATTCAATCATAGACTCGTTCTTACATACTAGAGCTCGTTCGCACATGCGCAATTTCTTGACAAACTAAAAGGCGTAAATGACATTTGTATGTATTCTAAATAAAAGATATAGATTGTACTCAATGTCAGTTTTCTTATTTTGCTCAAGATAAGGATTTATTGAGTCCACATGTCATGAAAACAAGAAACTGCTTCTAACCACAGGTCGAGAGCTGTCACTCCAAAACACACCTCTGCGATGCTGTTTGCGAATTTTCGTTGGAACGATGGTTTCGGGAAACACCGACTCGTTGAACTGCTGATAACGACAGAACTTGCGACCATAGTTGGCGAACGATGCTTTTGGGAAACACACCCCTGTCCAAGACCAATTGTCATATCATTACCATGCTAAACTCTTCTGAGAGTTGTCATGATGGAAATGCACTAAAATGACAAAAGGAAAAAAGGGTTTGCAAGCAGTAGAGATTGAACTGTTGAACAGACACCTGTCATTAATATACTTCACCCCCAAAATGAAAAGAAATATTTGTGAAAGTAGGTAACACTTTGCAATGAAGTCTCTTTTGTTAACACTACTAAGTATTTAAAGTATTTATAAGACATTTTAATCTTTATTTCTTATACAGGGCCATCGGCGAAAGAACTGGAAAGTCAGAAAGTTTATCCTTAGAGATGATCCTGCTTATATCCACTACTATGATCCCACCAAGGTGAGCATGTTCCTGTCATCTTCAAATATATATATATATTAGATGCAGTATTGAAATGGTCTGGTGTGTGTGTCTCTGTAAGGGTGAAGATGATCCGCTCGGCTCTATCCACCTGCGTGGCTCAGTAGTGACTGCGGTGGAATATGTGCCTGATGGTATGACGACTAGTCCATCTAAATGATCAAACAAAACATGATGACAACAACACGTTTAAATTGTAAAGCATTTATACATTATAGAATGCATGCAAATGTTTCTCTCTTATAAACTCCTGCAGGCAAGAAACAAGAGGCTGATGGAAATCTCTTTGAGATCATCACTTCGGATGAGACGCACTACTATCTTCAGGCAGCTACAGCCGATGAGCGCAAGGATTGGATCAAAGCCATTCAAAGTGTTGCAAAGTCCGGAAAATAAAAGGATTGGATCGATCATGTTCAACAAACTCGTTCATTAAACACATGCAGAGTTGGGATCTGTTTGAAAGAAAGAGTTGTCAATACACCAGCTATATCTCCTCTTCAGCATCTTCTAAAAATAAGACATTTGTTGTTTCTTCACTTTCTCCATTTGCAAAAAAAAAAAGAAAGAAATTGTGTAAAAAAACAAAAACAAAAAAAACCTCACACCAGTTAGAGAGAGGATGTGGGCAAATGTGTTTTTCACCAGAGATACTGAATGCCATTTATCTGTCCATCCAGAAATGTCATCGCAGTGGAAAGAGTGTTAAGGGACTCTACAATGTCCTGCATTTTCCTGTCTTTATTTGAAGCACTTCCTGTTTCTCATCTTGACTTTGTCCAAATATAGAGATATCACAGTCCGGTGGTGCAACAAAAACTGTCACAACAGCACAGCCCTACTGCTATTGTATACCACTATATAAACTTACCGTTTTCGAATAACTTACCATACATCTAATTTAACTTAGCATTCATCTATCAGTTATGAATTCACAATGGAAGTACTTGGAGCAACACAATAAAAATTTAAGTTTCAAATATGTGTTATATTTGGTAAGTGTGAATAGTTATAGGTTATATTTCATCACTAGCATGGCTGTTCTTTATGTTTCTGCCATGGAATAAAAGAAAAAAGATAATTACAACTTTTTATCTCACAATTAAATTTGGACTTTTCTCCCCTCAGAATCAAGAGATTATAACTCGCAAATCTGAGAAAAAAAGTCTGAATTGTGAAAAATAAACTTGTAACTGTGAGTTACAAAGTCCGAATTGCAAGATATAAAATCACAATTTCGCAATAATGGACTAGGTCTACTTGCACAGCTTACTTCCACATTGTTTTTATTAGCTACAACGAGTTTCCGGTTTCAGCGTTCAGCACATACAGTTTATTTTTCAAAAGTCCTAGTTAGTAGTTAGTTAATAGTGAGAATTGGACCCTAATCTAAAGTGTGACCTCATATTTCATACCTGTTGAGTTTTAGATTTTGAAATGAATTTGACTGATAAAAAGGATTGCTTGTGTGCACTGGTCTTTTATTAATTGAATGAATTAATGCACGGTACAAGCATGCCTTGAATTAATTTCAAATTCAATTCAATTCAGGTTTATTTGTATAGCGCTTTTCACAATACACATAATTTCAAAGCAGCTTTACAGAAACTGTTTGAGTCCACATTACAATTTAGAGTGATCTGTTATACGAGTAAACTGTCTTAAGTTATCCATTTCAGAAATGTACATATACAAAATCAGATTTAGCTAAAAAAATGCAGATACAATGAGCTCATTGAAGTAATGAATACTTGTTTGTCAAAAAAGGATTAAGACATTTAGAAAATATAGCATTGGTGCATGTTGATTCATAGTTTGTGTCATCAAGTCTTCGCAGGAGTTTGTCTCTTCACAGGTGTTGGGCATCTGAAGTCTTCGCAGGAGTTCGTCTCTTCACAGGTGTTGGGCATCTGAAGTCTTCGCAGGAGTTTGTCTCTTCACAGGTGTTGGGCATCTGAAGTCTTCGCAGGAGTTCGTCTCTTCACAGGTGTTGGGCATCTGAAGTCTTTGCAGGAGTTCGTCTCTTCACAGGTGTTGGGCATCTGAAGTCTTCGCAGGAGTTCGTCTCTTCACAGGTGTTGGGCAGCTGAAGTCTTCGCAGGAGTTCGTCTCTTCACAGGTGTTGGGCATCTGAAGTCTTCGCAGGAGTTCGTCTCTTCACCGGTGTTGGGCATCTGAAGTCTTCGCAGGAGTTCGTCTCATCACAGGTGTTGGGCATCTGATGTCTTGGCAGGAGTTTGTCTCTTCACAGGGGTTGGGCATCTGAAGTCTTCGCAGGAGTTAGTCTCTTCGCAGGTGTTGGGCATCTGAGGTCTTCGCAGGAGTTTGTCTCTTCGCAGTGTTGGACATCTGAAGTCTTCGCAGGAGTTCGTCTCTTCACAGGTGTTGGGCATCTGAAGTCTTCGCAGGAGTTCGTCTCTTCACAGGTGTTGAGCATCTGAAGTCTTCGCAGGTGTTCGTCTCTTCACAGGTGTTGGGCATCTGAAGTCTTCGCAGGAGTTCGCCTCTTCACAGGTGTTGCGCATCTGAAGTGTTCGCAGGAGTTCGTCTCTTCACAGGTGTTGAGCATCTAAAGTCTTCGCAGGAGTTCGTCTCTTCACAGGTGTTGGGCATCTGAAGTCTTCGCAGGAGTTCGTCTCTTCACAGGTGTTGAGCATCTGAAGTCTTCGCAGGAGTTCGTCTCTTCACAGGTGTTGGGCATCTGAAGTCTTCGCAGGAGTTTGTCTCTTCACAGGTGTTGGGCATCTGAAGTCTTCGCAGGAGTTCGTCTCTTCACAGGTGTTGGGCATCTGAAGTCTTTGCAGGAGTTCGTCTTTTCACAGGTTTTGGGCATCTGAAGTCTTCGCAGGAGTTCGTCTCTTCACAGGTGTTGAGCATCTAAAGTCTTCGCAGGAGTTCGTCTCTTCACAGGTGTTGAGCATCTGAAGTCTTCGCAGGAGTTCGTCTCTTCACAGGTGTTGAGCATCTGAAGTCTTCGCAGGAGTTCGTCTCTTCACAGGTGTTGGGCATCTGAAGTCTTCGCAGGAGTTTGTCTCTTCACAGGTGTTGGGCATCTGAAGTCTTCGCAGGAGTTTGTCTCTTCACAGGTGTTGGGCATCTGAAGTCTTCGCAGGAGTTCGTCTCTTCACAGGTTTTGGGCATCTGAAGTCTTCGCAGGAGTTCGTCTCTTCACAGGTGTTGAGCATCTAAAGTCTTCGCAGGAGTTCGTCTCTTCACAGGTGTTGGGCATCTGAAGTCTTTGCAGGAGATCGTCTCTTTACAGGTGTTGGGCATCTGAAGTCTTCGCAGGAGTTCGTCTCTTCACAGGTGTTGAGCATCTAAAGTCTTCGCAGGAGTTCGTCTCTTCACAGGTGTTGGGCATCTGAAGTCTTCGCAGGAGTTCGCCTCTTCACAGGTGTTGAGCATCTGAAGTCTTCGCAGGAGTTCGTCTCTTCACAGGTGTTGAGCATCTAAAGTCTTCGCAGGAGTTCGTCTCTTCACAGGTGTTGGGAATCTGAAGTCTTCGCAGGAGTTCGTCTCTTCGCAGGGGTTGGGCATCTGAAGTCTTCGCAGGAGTTTGTCTCTTCACAGGTGTTGGCCATCTGAAGTCTTCGCAGGAGTTCGTCTCTTCGCAGGGGTTGGGCATCTGAAGTCTTCGCAGGAGTTTGTCTCTTCGCAGGGGTTGGGCATCTGAAGTCTTCGCAGGAGTTTGTCTCTTCACAGGTGTTGGGCATCTGAAGTCTTCGCAGGAGTTTGTCTCTTCACAGGTGTTGGGTATCTGAAGTCTTCGCAGGAGTTTGTCTCTTCACAGGTGTTGGGCATCTGAAGTCTTCGCAGGAGTTCGTCTCTTCACAGGTGTTGAGCATCTGAAGTCTTCGCAGGAGTTCGTCTCTTCACAGGTGTTGAGCATCTGAAGTCTTCGCAGGAGTTCGTCTCTTCACAGGTGTTGGGCATCTGAAGTTTTTGCAGGAGATCGTCTCTTCACAGGTGTTGGGCATCTGAAGTCTTCGCAGGAGTTTGTCTCTTTACAGGTGTTGGGCATCTGAAGTCTTCGCAGGAGTTCGTCTCTTCACAGGTGTTGAGCATCTGAAGTCTTCGCAGGAGTTCGTATCTTCACAGGTGTTGGGCATCTGAAGTCTTCGCAGGAGTTCGCCTCTTCACAGGTGTTGGGCATCTGAAGTCTTCGCAGGAGTTCGCCTCTTCACAGGTGTTGAGCATCTGAAGTCTTCGCAGGAGTTCGTCTCTTCACAGGTGTTGAGCATCTAAAGTCTTCGCAGGAGTTCGTCTCTTCACAGGTGTTGGGCATCTGAAGTCTTCGCAGGAGTTTGTCTCTTCGCAGGTGTTTGGCATCTGAAGTCTTCGCAGGAGTTCGTCTCTTCGCAGGGGTTGGGCATTTGAAGTCTTCGCAGGAGTTCGTCTCTTCACAGGTGTTGGGCATCTGAAGTCTTCGCAGGAGTTCGTCTCTTCGCAGGGGTTGGGCATCTGAAGTCTTCGCAGGAGTTCGTCTCTTCGCAGGTGCTGGGCATCTGAAGTCTTCATAGGAGTAAGTCTCTTCACAGGTGTTGGGCATCTGAAGTCTTTGCAGGAGTTCATATCTTCGCAGGTGTTGGGTATCTGAAGTCTTCACAGGAGTTCGTCTCTTCACAGTTGTTGGGCATCTGAAGTATTCACAGGAGTTCGTCTCTTCACAGGTGTTGGGCATCTGAAGTCTTCGTAGGAGTTCGTATCTTCGCAGGTGTTGGGCATCTGAAGTCTTTGCAGGAGTTCATATCTTCGCAGGTGTTGGGTATCTGAAGTCTTCACAGGAGTTCGTCTCTTCGCAGGTGTTGGGCATCTGAAGTCTTCACAGGAGTTCGTCTCTTCACAGGTGTTGGGCATCTGAGGTCTTCGCAGGAGTTTGTCTCTTCACAGGTGTTGGGCATCTGAAGTCTTCGCAGGAGTTCGTCTCTTCACAGGTGTTGGGCATCTGAAGTATTCGCAGGAGTTTGTATCTTCACAGGTGTTGGGCATCTGAAGTCTTCGCAGGAGTTTGTCTATTCACAGGTGTTGGGCATCTGAAGTCTTCGCAGGAGTTGGGCATCTGAAGTCTTCGCAGGAGTTCGTCTCTTCAAACACGTGAGCAGAAGTTGTGTTGAAATGCCGTGAATGTCCTTCATTCTAACTTATTTTGCCTCACGTTACTAACGGTAAAAATAAGTTTCCATTTAATACGATAGGCTACTTGATCATGAATAACATAAGTGTTTTTATATATAAATAACATTCAGAAACTGTATTTGAAATTAAATGAATAAGGATCAATAAATAAATATTGATACAAACAAGAAATTACGTTTATCCGTCCTTCGGATGAGACGTTAAACCGAGGTCCTGACTCTCTGTGGTCATTCAAAATCCCAGGATGTTCCTTCGAATAAGAGTAGGGGTGTAACCCCGACATCCTGGCCAAATTTGCCCCTTGACCTCTGTCCATAATGGCCTCCTAATCATCCCCATGTACTGATTGGCTTCATCACTGTCTCCTCTCCACCAATAAGCTGGTGTGTGGTGGGCGTTCTGGCGCAATATGGCTGCCGACGCATCATCCAGGTGG